TCTCAATCGTTTTGTTAACCACAGCTTATTTCTATACGGAGGCTAGAAACACTTCCACATGGCGATTTCTGCAATCGAATCTAGCTACCGTGGGCTAGATGTGTTTTGGCATGGCCCTTCTCAGGAATCGCGGTCCCTTGGGAAGACTGGGTCCAAAAATTGCAGTTGGTGTCATCGCAAAAGAGGAGATCGACATAGACGAATCAATACCGGTATCCGACATTAGTAGAGCCTACGGGTAACGAAGAAGCCCAGGTGCGGGCGGACAGAGAGGCTCGCAAAACAGAGGAAAAACAAGTCTGGAGAGAAAAAACTTGCCGATCGAATGAAGAGAAACGGCTGTTCTGCGGAAGCACGAGAGGTGAGGCAGATAAACACCTGAAGTCGAAAAGTTTCTTATCGTTGGGGAAGCAGAGGCTACGATACTTCTTTCAAAAATATCAGAATAGTAAAATTGTTGATATTACCTTTGCCGAGTTATGGAAATTGGCAACGGATGCGTTTTATCGAGAACCGAATGTTACGAACTGTAGGCTCAACCTGTTTGGTAGTAAAAAACGAGATAACGAAGGAGTGAATCAGTTTTTTGGAGCCCTCAGTGACTTAGCCAAAGGCTAAGACTTTGGACTTTTCGTATTTAATATGAAGCACGAGGCGGTAAAAAAACAGTTTTGCTTGAATAAGTTGAGTCCCAACGATGCCCTACAATTTGCGGTGGTGAAAGAAAGAGGAGAGATAATGTACAAACGCGTGAGTGGTGGTGTCTCCAAGTTCGGTCGAAACAAGTTTTACCAGTGGCGACAGAACAACAACGGGAAATATTAGCAAGGCTTCATTAAAAGAGAACATGTGAACTACATCATAGGGCATGAGTCAGACAAATGTCACAATTGTGGAAATTGGCTGAAGTCAAACCATCGGGAGAGTTGTCCAGCAAAGAACAACATCATATGTGACAACTACAGTAGAAGCGGTCGTTTTGCTAAATATTGCAAGGATGCAGTGGTAAATCAGATCGACTATTGCTATAGTTTCAAGCATTTCGAAACAAACGTGATCCATAAATTGGGCGAGTTTGGACTATTTGCCGTAAGGACTGTATGGGACCAGGCAGAAAAAGAGAATCGAAAGCTATTAAGCGTGCGAATAGGCAAAAACCAATGGGAAACAGAATTCCAGATTGGTTGGGCTAGCCCTGTCTCGTTAAATTCTCAGAAGAAGCTTCATAAACTTAAAATTCAGGATTGCTAACTGGTAGCAAAGGCAGTTCCGAATGATCTCCGCAACGTCTTCCATAGCGCGATGGACGACATCAAAGTCATCGGACAAATACTAGTCAGAATTTAATCCGAGGGCTGGATTTCCGAGGGTATGAAATTGTTTTTACCGACGCCGGCCAAATGGACATCCTTGGAAGCAACTGATTGCCGTCATTGGGATTAGAAAACGCCAAAAAGCGAGTTTCGCGAGGTTTGAACGATGTGGCCAGGGGACCACAAGACCAGAGACAAACCGAGTACTCACCCATTCAGCGTAAGTACATCAGCATTATTTTGGGGGAATTTGAAGAATTGTTTGAGTGCAAGGGTTTGCTTGAAAATTGTGAAGTACGAACGCATTTCCATCAACCGCTGCAACCTATAGAAAAGAAGGGCAAGCAAGTTCCGATACATGTCTTACCTAAGGTTGAGGAGACAATCGAGAATTTGTTGAGGGATGGCCATATTGTCAATTTAGGAAAATGCACACAGGACTGTTCAATCTTGCCTAGGTCGTTCCGGCAAAACGCGATGGATCAGTTAAATTGGCCTTAAACTCAAAGTTGATCAAAAAACAGATTTATTGAAACATAAAAGAGTTGGTTGCTATTATGGCTTCGGCAATCGGCATTGATACGAATGCACCAAAATGGTTTTCGAAGATTAATTTGAAGTTTGCATTTTCTCAGATGCAATTAAGTTAGGAAACGAGTCGCCAATGCAACTTAACTACTGTTGGGGAAGTATAACGTGTACATAATGCTTCAAAACTGGGCTCTACGGTTTGGTTGATATGCCAAACTAGTTTCAGCGGGTGATGGACACCATGTTGGGGGCATTTACTGGGCGTGTATATTTACATAGATGATATTTTAGTTCCCACCAGATGGTCTGAAGAGGTCATTTGCGTGAAGCTAAAACCGTCCCAAATGTACTAATCAATATCAACGCTGCTGTCCAATAATTCAAATATGCAATCTTTGTGAAAAAATTAGAGTGGCTGACGTTCCAATTGTCCAAAAAAGGTAGAGCACCCATAGAAAAAAACTTGACTCTACTAATTTGAACCTTGAACTTGTTAATATGAAGAAAACAGGTAAAATTATCGATATCCGTTCATTGATTGGGTCAATCAACCTATTTATTCGATTTAATCTGAATCTCGCTGCAACATCAAAACCGTTTTGAAACTTGATGAAGAATCATTCAAGATTTGAATGGAGTTCGAATCATGAAAAGGCCTTTGCCAAAATAAAAAAAACGGCCGTGAATATCATCCAAACCACCATTTCGATGTCGAAAAACAAACAAGGAGAAAATGCGACGCTTTAAAAACAAGGATTGGGGCCATTTAGAGCAACTTCAAACCGACGCCTTGAAAACGATTTCTTCTGCCTCTAGGTTTTTAATTGAAGCTGAAAAAAAACAGCATTAAGGAGTTAGACTTGTAAGCGGTTGTTAGGGCGGTGACTCACTACCAGAACTATTTATTTGGAGCTCCGTTCAAGATTGATACGGATCATAAGGCGCCATTGTCTTGCTTGTCAGAAGAGAAAAATTCTAAAACAACACAAACGAATTTAGTTAGTTGGGTCTCGTTGGCTACTTATCGTGGTACTCGTTGCCTAAAAAACTTGGGACTCGTTGACTATTTGTAGTGTCGGAATTGGACAAGACTTTGTTGTAGAGCGAAAATAGATTAATAATAGACTATTATAACCATCGGTAGCATCGGTAGTGAGTAAGACTGGAACGCGGAACCAAATTAATGACGTAATTTGTGAAACGAAAATGGAACGAGAATTAGGTCATAGGAAGGAGTGTGCAGCACAAAAACTCATCGACGCATTTAAGAATTGTAATTTGATCAAAATTTGTGTTTCAATTTACTTGAGATTAGAGCAGTGCCCAAATTGTAAGCTTTTGAATCCACTACCGATGAGTAATTTAAATATCGAAAACACAAGGGCAGGAGATCCAAAAATCTAAAATATTGTCGATCGATGTTCACAGCACTACGTCAAATAGGCTGCCGACGCCTGATTCTAATGATATATCACCGGCTATGTATCCTAACATCTTATTTGAATTGCCAGAATTCTTGGATGCAGAGTTTTTTGCGATACTAACGAAGGCCGATGAAATCCTTAACTGCATTATTGAATCGTTACTCGCGAAAAGTTAAGACCAATTTCGAAACTTGAGTCATTAATTCAATCAATATGTAGACAACTTCCATACGTCACATGGAATTCTTTTCCTTGAGGACCGGATAGTTATGCCACCTCAGCTTAGGGCACCAGTTATGATTCGGTTGCACCAGGGACATATGGGAATGTTCAGGATGCGAGATGTCGCCAACAACTATATCTGGTGGCCACATTTGATCAAGCAAATCCAACTCATCGCGGCCAGTTGTAAAGAGTGTTTAAAGTCCAGTTAGATTTGAAGTCAAAAATCCCGGAGGGAGACGTTACTAAATTGAGCCTCTTAAAAGAACCCAATTAATACCTCCAGTTGGAAATTTTGCGCGCGCTACCGGCGGTATGGGGTGTTTATAAAAACTTACTCGTTTGCAAAGACAGACTTTCAAAGTTTCAATCGATTCAGATCACAACGAGAGCTACTGCCAGCAGAAGCGTAATTTGTATGAAAAAAAACATGGCAGACACTTTATTTGAAAAGTGAAGTTACTGTTGAAACAGTTAGCCAGAAAATCTAATGAGCACACTCTCTCAAATTGAATTGGCTTCATCCTTAAAATCAAATACGTAAAATTAGAAGTTTTAAGGGTTTTGGGTGTTATCTTTTTTTTTGAAAATAAAAATTAAAAAATTTGTGAATGTGCATTTTTTTGCAAGTATTTTGATTCCTTGACAATTTTAACCATATACTATTTTTCCGACGTGTGTCAGGTTTTTGAAGCTTCGTGTGCGACTTGTGAATTAGCGGTTACATTTTTAAAACCACAAGTTGAAAACGAAGCAAATTAATTTTCATTCAACTAGATAGTTAACATGTTTACCGCACTTGTTATGGACAATTTTTTTATTAATTGAGCTTGATTGTAGTTTGAAATTATTTTTGTTAGGTTTTTGGAGACTTTTAAAAATGGGTTGAAACCATAACCTTAGAATAATCTAGTCAACGCAAATTTGGCAATATTATAACTTCCCACAAGTTATCAAATCATAGAGGGTTTCACACAGATAAGAGTAAAACTGCAGCTCCAAGTGCTAAATGAAGAGCTCTTAATGTTTTTTGCATTTTGCAAGATGAGATCTTGCAAGTAAATCATATCTTAACTGGCGCTTGTCATATGCGATCTTGTCAACTTAAATAATTAGCCTCTGGATTAGAACTCCGGGTTGGTTGACTTAAAAAGTGTCTTCTCTGATTGGTGTTTAGTATTCATGACTTTTCAAGCAGATACTTTTGGACGATGAAAATGCATACATACCTATTCAAGCTTTCCTATCTAAACACTTGTCGCTTAATAATTCTAAGAAAACTCCCTGCCACGAATTTGGGTCGTTAATTAATAACCAATTTGAGTCTAAAATAGGTATGTAGTTATTTAGGATTTCCTAAAGGGGTTAAAAAGAACTATGGATTAACCTGGGTCTTTTGTGACTACCTTAAAAAACGCTTTTAGATAAACAAAAAAATGGTACGATATTAAAGCTCTATTGATTGTGATTGAGATTCAGTTTCCAAAATTAATCCATTTTTCTCAAATCTTTTATCTGTCGCTGACAAAATTTGGAACCGAGGTGCGTTTTTCTAAATTGAAAGTTTTAAATAATATGATTGCAGTTTTTAATGGAAAAAGAGGACCAAAATGAAGCCGAACCCAGATATAACAAACAATTTGTGAAATCACAATAAGTCTTTTTTTGCGTGCTTTTTTTCAGAACTGTTGCTGCGACATGAATTTTACGTCATGAGTTCCACGAACTCTTTGTAGTCGAGTTGTCCATCTCCGTCTTTGTCTACTTGAGCCACTAGCACATCGATGTCCTCGTCGTCTATTTCTTCCCCCAAGTTGTTCATGACGAACTTCAACTCGCCCGGGGAAATTAGACCTAAATAATAAATAGCCAATGAGTTGAAATGATAAATAATAAGATTCAGTAGGTAACAGATGTATTATTGTTCCTAAAGGGTTGAAAAAGAATTGTGAGTTAGACTGCGTTTTTTTCCACCCGATTATGACAAATTCAAAAAAAGATCACAGTTAGTCAAAAGTGAGATGATATTAAAGCCCAATTGATCGTGATTGTAATTTCAAATAGAAGCAAAAAATTTTTCTCTGATTTTCTAGACCTGAAATTTTTAATTCAATTTCCAACCTAATTCTTCTGGTAATTGAAAAATATTTGTCGGCATTTCCAACTGGTTCATATGGTTCATTAACTCAATTCAGTCTCCTCTCACTGATAAAAACACAGCATGTAAATAAAGCTCAATTTTGAAAGATTTCACAAAACTTCTCAAAAAGTTTTAAGAACTACTTAAATTAATTTTTTCTTTCCTTTTTTAAAACTTTCATTGTTATTTTAAAAGATAAAATAAGTTAGTATACATTAAATGGCGGGCGGAGTATTCAGGAAACAATAGGAGTAGCGTTGTTTTTGTTGAAAAAAAAAGTTAAATCACAGTGTTATCTTGTCTGAAAAACTTTGAAGTAGTTGTGAGATAACAGCTCGATCAGTTATGTCTTGTGTTTTGTGTGGTATCGTACCGTCTCCGTTCTGGTCGAATATGCGGAAGGCCTCCTGTAGATCGTCCTCCAGCTTCCTCTCCTTCAGTTTGCCAGCCATCATCTGCAGGAACTCGGGGAAGTCTATCTCTCCATTGCCTATGGAACATGGCATCTCTATGAGTTACTTTGTCTATCAAACCTGCGGCCTCGTGGCGCAAATGACAAGGAAGTTTGCTTACAATCATTATCATATCGGCATTTAAAGGCTGGCAAACACATTAAACAATGCGTTTGTGCATTAAATCACAAAAAACTGACAAAAATTGAACAATTTGTACTTTAAAATGATTGGTCTTCAAAAATCAAATTTAGTTACATTAACATTTTTGTCACAACCAGGTTCCATTTCATAATTGATTTAAATAATTAATTAGTCTATTATTGGCAGTACTTTGTTCAAGATCATATTCAATCTGACGTTTTTCGGTTACCAAGCTCAATCATGCCGGTCGGATCAGTTTTCAAGTTCGTACTAAATCTATACAATCGAGAAGATCATTTCTGATTGAACCTTAAGCCCATTTAGCAGCGTGCTTGTTATCTCATTTTTTTTTGCAAATCTTGCTCAAACAAAGCTTCGATGTTTATCAACGGTTTTGTTCTAGCTCTCTTTCAAGTATTTTTTTGGTTAATTCATATGTATTAAGATCGTGAATTTGTAGAGGGGTTAATTGATTATGGGGTTGAATGACGTGGGGTTAACAAAAAGGGTTGAAAACTGCGGGGTTATAAAATTAGAAACCAACTGGTTTATACACGGTTAAACCAAATAATTAATTTTATTAATTAAAAAATATAATTAATAGCAAAAAGTTCGGACAGACGAAATTAATTAAAAGAGCAAATGACCTTTTTCAGACAATTTTTTTTGCAAAAACTAACTTTTCAGTCAAAAAGTATATCTCAATGTCACCTAAAAATTCAATTTTCCAAACCAAAAATGCTGAATATTGGCAGATTGCTGTTTTTAACTATTTCTGTCTGTCCGCAATTTTTCCAACTCTCTATACCAGATTTATTTTTTATTTGGCTCTTTGTCCTGATTTTTCAATTGAAAAAAAAACTAAGAAAATTGTTTAAATGCAAAAACATTGCAGCAAAAACTATAAAGGCCTACTGATAGCTCTCTGCAATTTGCAGTGACATAAAAAAAGTTTGCTAAAAGCTCCTCTGCGATTCGCAGTAACATAAAAAGTTTTGCTAAAATGAGTTATCTTTTTTCTAGATTGTTTTCTTTTACAAAATTGAGCTAAAATTGTTGGTCTAATGGTTTGTGAGAAAAACTCTGTAAAGTTTTTTCATCGCGCAAAAATTCTTAAACTGAAAAAGTTCAGAATGTACCTGAATCACCTGAAAATTTATAATGTACGGTAAACAACTCTAAACCATAGAACAGGGAGATATTCATTCGAGAAAATTTTGTAGCAGAAGCTATTATCATTAAGTTAGCATACTTTTTATGACCTATTTGAAACTACCTAATCCATGTACACTAAAAAATATTAGTCTCTTCAAAAAAACTGGCCCAGTAAGAGAAGTTGATTTTTATACTCTCTCGGGTGGAAGTTCAGCGCAAGCGACCATTTGTAGCATTTCAAAAAGCGACAATTTTTGTAAATTTTCCGAAAAAGGAAGATCTATGAGCCGTCAAAACCCGTATCTTTGAATTGTTTCTCTAAATGTTTATTTCAGTAAATTATACATTTTCAGAACTCTTAAGTTGATCGCTTGCAACCAGTTGAGATATTGGAATTTTTAACTCGCATTAACTCGCATTTTAACTCGCATTAAACCGTTTCAGTACCATCCTTGTCAATTTCGGCGATGATAGTGCCCAATTCTTCCTCCGTCGCTGGCTCCCCCAGAGTGTTCAACACCTCCCCCAGCTCATGGGTGGAGATGGAGCCACTGCCATCTGTGTCGAACAGATTGAATGCCTCTCGCAATTCAGCCACTTGGTCTGGCGTCAGCTACGACAACAAACAGAAATAAAACTACCACAAAATAATTGTCTTTCTGTAGTACTCACTGCAAGCTCGCTGAAATAAGTTAATTTTTTTTGAGATCGAATGCTTTTAATTTCTTGAAAATGACTCTGAATAACAATCCTAACTTTGTCAAAACAATCCCTAATTTTTTTCATAAAGGAGTTTTTTTAAAGGCGCCAAAGTTTGAGCGATGAGCACGCGCTGAAAAAACGCAACTTTTTTGTCAACATTTCTTTAAAAGTGCCTAAAAACGCCCTTTTTAGCCTGTTTTTTTTTCAAAAGAAACTATTTACATCTGAATCATATCGAGAGATAATTTTCTAGCTAGTAGATGGTTTCTCTATTGAATTTCTTCAATTTCGATCCGGCTTTATCCTATGAGAACTTATTTATAATAATTGAATGAAATTTCAGTCAGCTCTTTTTTGGGTTGAATATGGAGCACTTGATAACATCAAAACAAAAAATTCATTTATTTGTGCGCTCTAATCAGATAGATCATATTTGTTAGAATCAAGACCTTTTGCGGAAAATTTTGCGAATCATTATAGTTCGAATTGAAAAAACTTATTGATAATTAAAGAAGAAAAGAATTTATTGGTAAAACAATTTTCTACAGCTATTGGGCTGTTTTCTTTTCAACAGTCACCTTGATACTGGTTGATTAGTCAAGAAAAACCCTTGAAAGATCATTTTTGAAAAAATCAAATGTTGGAAATTCAAAAAAAACTATCAGCAAGTTTGTTTTGTAATGGCGGTAAATATTAACCAAGAAATTTCTGACCTTTTAAACCAAGTTTCTTTTTTAAATTATACCTTTATTGAAAAAAGTGTTTACTTTTCTAATCAATTGAATTTTTGTACTATAATGAGTTGGTAAATCTACTGGTGGATTCTGTAGTATTGCAAATACTACATTAACTTATAGTTTAATTTAGTTTTCTAACATTTTAAATATCCTTCCGATTTAAATAATTCTTTTAAGATTGGATTCATTTTTTTGTTGCTTTTAGCGTGGATAATGAAAAAAAGTATGCCGCCAGTTAGGCAGACTGGTTTACTGTCTTGCCTTAAAAAGCAGACAGCGCGGCGACAAAGCCCCCAGTCCTTTTGCAATCCTAACAAAAGATTTTGAATTTTTAATTAAGTAAGACAGGTGCAACACTGATAAAGTGCCCTGATCCTTTAAATTATTGATTTTTTGTACTAAAAAATCAATAAGTTGCAAATGTCAATTTCATCAAGAGTATGAAGAAAAAGGGGAAAATGAAGTTTGAAGTCTACACTGCAGGTGCAATTTTGTCTCAGTCAAAGAGCTGAGAAACAAATCAACCTGAATCTTCAGAGTTATTATTTTCCTCACTCGCTCAGTCGAGTAGAATTTTTTACTTTTTTTATTTATCACTATTTTTCGTTCTAATAAAAAGTACTTTTGAAAAATATAACAATCCAGAGCTGACAGAAGTAAGATTCTGATTTTTCCTTTAGTTTAAATTAATGTAATTTAACCTAAATACCCCAAACCTATTTTGGTATTTAAGACAGTTTTTCATCCATTTATACTTCGTTTATACTCATTTAATCAACCCTTACTTTTATCTGTTTATATCACTATCATTTCAATTTTAGGACCAGATCGACTATGATATATGATATAATTTAACTGAGACTAATAATTTTAGTTGCTAATAGAAACAAAGGGACTTAACAAACGACCCCATGTATCTCTTAGTAAAATTAGTGGAAAAAAAACCTCGACAGAGTCTTTTTTTATCATTAATTTTCTAGCAGAAGAAAATGTTGGAATTTCGAAAACTTCCATGAGCCAATTTGTTTTGCACTGGCGCTAAATATTGACCGTTTAAAACCAAACTCGTCCCTAAAACTTAAAGAAAACAAGTTTTTAGTTTTCCTAACAATCGCAATCATGGAAAGGGGGCGAATCTAGGATTTTCCCGAGGGGGGGGGGGGGGGGGGGCGGATTTTCAAAAAATTTTCAAAAATTTTGATTGCCTTTTTTTTGGTCGACTAAATTAATTTTCTGAGCTCTCCTAAAGCACTAAAAATACGCTGTTTTGGCCCAATTTTTTGCGCCGCACGCAAATTTTTGAAAAACAGGTCAAAAAGCCGTTTTTGGGCACTTTTTAGAAAATTTTGACAAAAAAAATGATTTTTCTTTTGGCGCGCGCTTCCTCTCAAAATGAGTGTATATTGACGCCGAAGGCGCCTTTAGAAAAGTTTTAGGGTCGAACTGCCAAAAGCCAAAAATGGATTTCTTAAAAAGTACCAGGGGGGACCCTTTGGGTCGACAGGGGATCGAATTCCTGAAGAGAAAGGGCGACCGTCCACACCCCCCCCCCGCCGCCCCCCCCCCCGCCGCCCCCCCCCCCCCTAAATCGTCCGCCCTTGATCATGGACCATAATGAAAAGATAGGTCTTTTGATAAGATCGAAAATTTTTTTAAATAATGAAAATTTTTTTTTTAAATGAATCAAAGTTCAAAAATGTGATCTTTCAGTGGACGGAGAGTAATGAGGTTTAATTTGTAGTTCTCAAACTGCACCATGCATTGCACTCACCCGATAGAAGTTAAGAATGAAAAAGAATGAAGAAAATTAACGAGCTCAAAGAGTTTTAAATTAAAATCAACCGCAGTTTTGAAACTTCGTTGCGTAAAATAATTGTAGTTGCGCTCAGGCAAAAGTTCGCCCATGATTTTACAACGGCAAAAATTCAATTCTGAAGCTTTTCTAAAGTTTTTTTTAAAACAAAAGCTACCCACAGATTGAACTGATTTATTGCAGTTTATTGTAGAAAACTTTAATAACAAAAATTTGGATGCTCATTCAAACCAAAGTTGCTGAGATAAAATTTTGAGATGCGGCCGCGTTTTTTCACAGTACAAGTTGAGATTTTACCAACAAAATTTGATGGTTTTATTGATTAAATCCTTTTCAATGCAATATATAAGGCAACAAAAATGTTCAAAAAACTAAGGACGCCAAATGCTGTACTATTTTTGCCATTGGGATTTCATTCAACACAGGGCAACTTTTCAAGGCTACGAATTATGCTTCGACTGAAAAACAGAAATATTTGTATTTTATGTTTTTGCCTGCTATGATAATTATTTTTACGAAACAATCAATTTTGTTTTTCATTTTCAAAGTTATGCAATGACAAAAATAAGCGATCATAATTTTGTGTGCTCGTTTCCCTATGACCCGGTACTTTCATTTTAGCTCCCAGCCCATATGCTGTTTTTGCCGACACTAATTTCCAATACAAATTGAACCTTTTAAAAGCATTTAAATATGGATTCAAAAACGTATCAAACTTAATAAACTTGAAAAAGTATCACAATTTGTCCGAAAATTTCATATATCTATTAAAAAATGCAAAGTTACACAAAGTTACCCAGAAAACTACGAATCCCAGCGAAATTTTGTCGAATTTACTGTAACGGAAAAATGCACAAAGTCGTTGGATTCCAAAACAACCATGACTATGCATTTCTCATTAAAATGCTCATGGTTCGTAGACTCCATATATTTGCTAGCTGGACAAAGTCTAATTTTTAAACATATGCAAAATTTGGTAGAATTCAGTAGAAAATTTACGACCTCCAAAGACAATTTGGAAATTCGTTTTTTTAGAAACTTTTGGATCAACGAAGAAGATGCAACAAGACAGAAAAAGCTGCAAATTTACAAACAATTTGCAACAAAACTGTTCAGCTTATAAATCATAATAATCTACTATAACGAATTTCATTGGAAAATAATCGAATACGTGGTCCAAAAGTGTAATTATAATTAATTATAATGGCAACAAAAATGTTCACGAAAATCGATTTTATTGTCAATTATTATTCATGGAACCTCTGTGCGGGCGACTTTGAAATCGAAAGAAATTTTCTTTATATTTTAAATGTATTTTGTGAGCTCTTGTTTTGTTAATTCAATTTTTAGTAGACTGTGCGGCCAATCAGAGTAGCTTAAAATGTAGTCTGGAAAAAATTGATGTTGAGTAGCACCAGGTAGGGGCAGAGCTTTCCTTGGTCGGCAAGTTCACTAGTTTCTCACACATCTAGTTTGGATCAACTTACATTTTTTGATCCAGACTTGGATTTCGAAGGAGGAGGGTTTGTATTCGTACCCTCCATTCCGGAAAAAAAACAATGGACAAGATTCAAGTAATTGTTTAACAAAACGATATAAAAATAATTAGGAAAAATCAAGAAAATAGAAATGAGCTTAGCTTTTTGAAACGGTTTAATTGAAAATTACAGCAGCGATCTGAATGCGTTCAGACAGTGCGATTATTTCAGCTATTATCGAAGCGGCTTTTGAGTGAAACCAGCCAACCGGAAAGGAAAAACCACCTGACTGTTCTAAACATCCAGCAAAAATATCAAAATCTATTTTCTACTGTTCAGAAGCTAAAAGAAATTCTCAGTTTTTCGGACTTTGATTGATGTCTCTACTCTTTGTTACGAGCATGGAGTGGGAAAAATTAAAAATAAGTTGCATTTTTTGTATACTGAATCAAGTACCCCAAAAAATTTTGTAAGTGGTCAAAAAACAAATCAATCTAAATCCGTGGTATGATGATGCGAGCTGCAATAAGACAGATGCAAAAAAGAGCGTGAAAAGACACAGCGGCTTCAACAGCAGTCAATTCAATTCAACTTTAAGCAAATAAGTTATAGTTTAGTCATAAGTATTTTTCCAGTATCTTCCAAGTTATAGTTTAGCCAGAAATAAAAACTAGTTTTTCTTCTTGAAGCTTGAACTCGAGCCTTTTCCACATCGGCCTTCTAAGAATCGTTTTGTTTTACTTACTGATTTCAAAGACTTTTCAGTTTCAAAACTTTGAAAAAACAGTAAGTTGACAAAAAGAACTGCTATCGTAATTGGATTCTGGCCATAGTGCTAGCGATTCAAGTCTGGCAAAACTGCATTCATGTGGCCCAAAATCAGCATAACTCAAGCTAGTTTACATGATAATCACGATGCTAAATCCAACATAACAAATGCATAATGAAACTAAGAATTTTTTTTTTCAAAAATATCATGCACCGCCACCTATAAAAAAAGACACTTCAGTTCCTGACGTTGAGCAACATATTCAACAAAATCAGCTTGTATATAAGTTGACCAACTTCGTCTGTTTGAAAAAAAAAAGTAGTAGAAAAACTGAAAACTGCCCGGTACCTATTCAAGCAAAAACCATTTTGGATATTGTCTGCCTTCCGAAACTATTTAGAAAACAAAAGCTAATTATTGAATTTTTTGTTTCAATATGTCTCGGTATTCTAGTCCAATTGCCATTTTTCAAAATATAAACAGGTTGATGCAGTCTAAGGATAATTTTCATTAAAATTCAATTTCTTTCTTCAAATTACTCGAACCTCAGAGTCCTAAAAGCAGGCGTTTTATAGTTAACGAGTTTTCAGAAATTACATCCAGATTTCTGCTTCCGTGATTTATTGTCTTTAGTTTTCAAATGAGTCAAGATATCATATTATTTTGAAACCATTCTTTGGAAATAAGTTGTTTATCGTTATTGTTCCAATTTTCCTACCGAAAGTAACGGAACATTTGTGTACGGGGTGGGTTTCTTTCTTCAGACAAATTTCGACTTTTAAACTAGCCATTTTTGGCTAAATTTTTTTTGACTGAAGTTTTTTTATATCATTTGAAAGCTTTTGTTGTCTTGAGCTAAAATTTGAAAAGATATCCAGTGATATCCTGTGATCACCTGTGATCAACTATTTCACCTGTGATCATTTATCAAAAACTTATGGGGGTTTAAAGATTGCCATTTTGGCCATTTTAGCCGATTTGGGACAATTAATGCGCAATAAATTTTGCGCTATTAAGGCGTAAGCGGAGAGTTAATCCGTCTTAGAAGTCGTTCCAAGTTGGTTGAAAGAAGCTTACTTGCCATAATTGATTTGTTACAAGGAGCGAAGTCTATCACTCTCTACTTGATATGGCGTGTAGGGGGATGTTTTTACAAAAAATCTTAAATTTAATTTTAAAAAAAATCATTACGAGGCCAAACTGTGCATTTTGTGCATTGTAAGCAGATTCCGCAACAGGCCAAAATAAGATTTTTCGCGGAATCCGCAACTTTGCTAATTTTCTTTGATCTTCTTCGCTGTTTTGGATTCCACAGACAAATACCTAAAACACTGTACCGCTCAAAATTGCTCCAAAATTAGGCCATTTTGCGGAATCCGCAACCACAATTGCAGAATCCAGAACAGTTTGTGGGATCCACAAACAAATAATAAAACCTTTGTGTAGTTAAATTGAGCTATTGCGGATTCCGCAACTGTAAGCGGAATCCGCAACGTTTAAGTAGAATCCGCAAAATGTAAGTGGAATCCGCATTTTGTTTGCGGTTTACGTTTACATATATCTATAAATGTGTAGCATAGCGTTTAAAATTATATCTTTTATATACTGGTTATCAGAAAAATCAATCTCAATTACTACATTGATCAACTACCAGTTGAAACGTTTGGTCTCAGTTCCTGTCAACCAAACTTCGAACTCAAATCCTGTCAACTTCCATCTCAGCTTCGATCCCAAATACTGACCTACTGAACTTCGATCCCAAATACTGACCTACCGATCCCAAATACTGACCTACTTCGATCTGAACTTCGATCCCAAATACTGATGCAATCCCAAATACTGACCTAAATCGGCGATATGCTGTGCGTTGTGTTTCCATACACTCTCAATCCAATGACTCAAAAATTGAACTTATTCGGTGTTGTGTTTCCAAAATACTAAAAGCTGACATCCACCGATTTAGTTAACAAATGTTTTGAGATTTGTACGTGGATTCCGCTGACAATGGTTAAGTCCTTGCCTTTAAGTTCCGCGTTGCAATAGATACGAATGCCAGCTCTAGCTTTTGATGGTTCATATGCAAGTTCAGTAATAGACAAAACTCTGAATCCATTTACAGTTTGCGGAATCCGCTTACATTTGCGGATTTCGCTTACATTTTGTGGAATTCAGTTACAGCTGCGGAATCGACTAGCTATATTTGCTTGTTGCGGAATCCGCAACAAAACAAACGTGCCGACAAAATTTACGTTACAGGTATTTGTACGTGGAATCCACGGAAATTTTGTAAGTGGAATCCACTGACATTTTGGAACATGCTTAAAGGTTTGTCTATGGAATTCAGGAACATACAGACACAAAACTAAAATTGTGCGCCTATTCAGTGCACAGTTTGGCCTCGTAATGATTTAATTTTGTTTTTTACATTTAAATTTTTTATGTCATTACTGCTCTATAGACCTTAGAAGGCAGTCGGATTATTCAGGTTTTCGCCCTGATACGAGCAGTCTTGTTTTACTTTAGATTTCACTTGATACCGAAAAATTGTATGCTTGAATAATCAAAAAAGCCAAAAACAATTTTTGCCACCCTTTTCTCCAATTATCCTGACAAAAGTAAGCACAGCACAATCACGTAAAGACAATTTACTAGAAGAGCCCGAGTTTCGAAAATTACTCCCACACACTGCTAAGAAAAACGAAAATTTGCGCTTTAGTACGTGCATCATCAAGTGATGCACTTCAAACTATTCGATAAGAAGTGGAAAAATTGTCTTTGTTTTATAATTGGGAGCAGTGGTGAAGTGGTTACGTCTCTGCCTCTCAATCGAAAGGTCGGATGTTCGAGGCCCACCATGATCCGTGCTCGTTGCTTGAGGGTGAGGCAACATTACCCAGCCCAGAAAAATAACCAAAAAAAATTGCATGTAGTTCTTAAGCAGGGGCACAACAGCGGTTCGCCGTGATGAGCTGTACAGCTCGTATGTTGGTCCTGTCCCTCGTGGACAAATGATCTTAAATTGGTCCAGCCAGGTTTGTTTTGTACATTATAGTGTTATATTCAGCATCATCAGGTAACAGTTGGTGCATATTTTGCATCTCGCTTTGATACAACACGAACACAAGCTGCCCATTAACAGAGCCGGAGGCACAGCCTGTGTAACATGCAGTCATTCTGATATAAACGCATTTACCAGAAATTTCTTTTTTGCTTGCCAAGATATTTTTAGAGCGTGTAGCGTGAAAAGCTAACAAAAATATTTTATTGTACTTTATCCAATAATAACAAATAAACAAATAAAACAAATGAATAGACAAATAAAAAAAACTTGGTCTGAATTCTGGGTGAAAGAGAAAATCTTTCGCTTTTACTTTCGAATAACTTTTTTTCCTGTATAATTTCTCAGAAGTAAGATATTTTAATTTAAAAATTCTTGAAGTTTTTTTTTACATACAAAACTTTACTGGCAATTTTTAGGGCTCGTTTTTGTATCACTTTATTTTTCCAAAACCTGATTCGTAGTTTTATTTTTCTCTCTTTGCTATTAAAATCGGAAAAAAACCAAAAAGACTTGATCAGCTTAGCTTACTCCACAATACACATTTCCAAGTTTGAAATCTTTCCAATTTAGTTTTAAATGAATCGAATTTATATACCATACAGCCAAATAAGCTTGTTTTTTCATGTTCACTAAACAATTTTTTTCGAGTCACTGCTTATAGGACGGTTAGATCAACACTCTATTTAAGCGCTGAGAATTTCAAGTGTGCATATGAAACTTAAACTTGAAAATAAAATTGTATTTAAAAATACACAACAAAGAAAACGAGCTAGATTTCTCGTTTTACTCGCTTACCAACGAAAATATTGGTGCACCCATAGGACAACTTGCCCGGCAGAGCATATCTGTAAACAAAAAATACTCAATTAACAGCAGAAAAAGCTGAATTGCTTCTGTTTGCTCACAAATTTTTTTAATTTAACACCCCGGGTTGACGTCCATAGAAGAAAAATGCTTATCATGCAGTTTCATATATGAAGTCTATGGAAAAAATGCTTATCATAGAAAATTCATACAAAATTTTAAGTGTTTTAAAATTTTTTAATAAACATTTTTGGTCTTATTGCCTCTTTTAAAGCTTTCTGGTCATTAAAAAAATGACTTAAAATTTTTGATAAAAAATGCTTGTCATACAATTTTCATGAAAAAGTAAACTTTTCAAAAATCACCAAAAAACGTTTCTGGGTAACTTTAAATAGATTTAAATAATTATTTCTATGATAGAGAGCATTTTGACAATCAAAAACGTAATTTTAATTTCGGTCAGAAAAATGCTTATCATAAAGTTTTCATATATGAAAAGTGTATGATATGCATTTTTTTCTTAAAGAAAAACAAAAAATTGAGGTAAAAAAGTTTTAATCCCTTTTTTGGTTGCAAACTTGCTTTTGTGCTAAAATATAAGTTTTAAGAAAAAAAAAATTTTTCATGCAAAAGTTGATTTTTTATGTTTATAACGAAGTCTAGGATGAGTTTTTCACCCAAAAAATCCAAAAATCACAAGAAAGTGTTTTTTTGTAAACACGATTATTATCTTTTGTTTCATTTGCTAAGATAAAAATAAATTTGTAAAAAAAACAGGCCTTTTTTTCTCAACTACCAAAATTTTCAACCTAAAAACTATCTAGCCATATTCAAAAAGTGTTTTTTCTGGTATATCATTCCATGTGAAACTGTTACAATTAACTTTCATTGCTAAAATCACCAAACGCAGTTTATCTGCGTGATAACTGCCAGTTACTTTCTGAGTTTTTTTATGACGAAAAATCGTTGGTTAGTGTTTCAGTTGAAACACAAAATTTCGAAGAAAAGAAACTTATTTTCACTTATGGAAAAAATGCTTGTCATACAATTTCATAGCATGGAAAAAACGCTTAACATACAATTTCATATTATTGAAAAAAATGCTTATTTTGCTATTTTCATACACTTACTTTTTCTCTATGAAACTGTATGAAAGATTATGATAAGCAATTTTTTCATATATGATAATTGTATGATAAGCATTTTTGTCAACCCGGGACTTCATTAATTTAAACTCTGACAAAACCAAGCGCAATACTTGTAGTTTTTGTATTTTCATAATTACCCATTTGAACAGTCACCTGGCAAAGCAAGTTTTTGCCAAAAATTAGTCGTGTTTCTGACAAAAAAGTGCAAATAACTTCTGTTTGCTTGCACATTTGGAAATTCTACCCAAAATCAATTTTTGAGCACTGACAAAAACAAATAGAATCAACATTGTAATTTGTAATCAGAGCTACCTGGATGTTGATATAACTAGTATAAACAGTTTTCCTGCCCAAAAATTAGCCTAAGCTTTGACAAAAATTGCAGTTAACTTCTGTTTGCTTACGCATTAAGCATTTAAAGCCTTGATCAATCTTATAGTCCTGACTACGACGAGCAACTCAAGTGTTCCATGCGTTGGTTCCAAACTTTACATAGTCCAAATTTTACATGAAAAATTAAATATCATGTCAAACTCAGCTGCGATTTGGACAAAAATTGCGAACAACCTGGGTATGCCTACGACTTTGTCCTCTATTATTTATTAGGCCCTGACTTAAACAAACGAAACAGGTCTTTGAATTAGTTTTTACATTTATACAAATGACACATAAAAAAAACAAAAGATATCTGTCGCAAAAAAAAACAGCTGATACAGGAAAACTGAATCCTTGTTAAAATCTGAGTTTAGCCTCATCGAATACTTACTGTTTTTGTTGATTATTTGTGATTTTTTTTTGAAACCCAAGTAAATAACTTACAACCAGTTGTTTTATTTTGATTAGTTATTCTAAGCCACAAAACATTTATCTTCAAAAGAAGAATTATAGAAGCAATGGAGGAAATGCCAATCACACAGCTATTGAAAATCTGACCAAAATCATATCAGACGAAGACACTTGGGCGGCAGTGAGCACTGTTCCTAAAGAACTTTTAGCAAAAAAAGCAGAGCAAAGTAAAAAATAAAAAATTTGGCAGATTCTTGCTTAGAAATAAGAGTGCGCGAACAGGAGCGATATAGTAATGAAGTCTCTGTAATAGTTATTAGACCTCCAATCGAATCGGAAGATTCGAATGGACATCAGACTAATATTTTGTTTTTTAAAAAGTGTATTTGGGCGTGACTGTACAGCATTTTTAGTCTTAGTCTTAAGTCATCAACAAAATTACGGGTAAAACGTTTCATGAAATCATAAAGTCTTTTATTTTGAAATTTGCTAAATTTCATGCAAAAAACAATATTGGCGCAAAAAAAAACTGCTACGGAATATCGCAAAAATCCATTGAACGATATACAGTTTTACTGAGGGAAAAACTACTAACCATGGATGCCTGTATTTAAAAAAGTTGCAGAAATTAAAAGCTACATGACATCAACACAAAACTGCGTTTTTCGGTTATATGTACAGGAGTGGTAGAAAAAGCATGCATTGTAAAATTAACAGCTAAAATCATTTGGAGCGAAAAGAAAACTCAGTTGCTGACACTCGAAACGTCAAAAAAACTGTTAAGAAGACCAGTGATAAAAGCAAAGGATGAAAGCTTAGTGAGGAAAAAGACGAACGGACAATGAGTGGTTGCTTCCATGTCAAAGGAAAAAAAGATCATAGTGATGTTGGAAGAGACATCACTCGACAGGCAGCCATGTTTTCTTATTAATTTTCTAGTGTGAATAATTTTTGAAACGTAAATATGTTAAGTAAATATGTTTCATACTTAACACTCGAAGAAAAATGTATTTATTATTGAATATTTTTTCTTAAGTAATAGAGTCATGGGGAGGGCTAGGGCAACCAAACTCTATTGGGTTTTCATGGGTTTGTGAAACAAGTTTTTTTGGATTTTGATGTTTTCTGTTCTACTCGACGCACAGCAGCATTTTTGCATGAATAACAAATTAAGGGTTTGATTGTGCTTTCAACCGCAGTACAAGGCCTTTAAAATCCCACTGCTTGCTTAAATACATTTCCAAATTTTTTTGAAAAAATTGTTTGCTACTTCAACCAAGTCTGAAAATGTTTTTATGCTGTATCCAGGCGCGGAAATGATACATTTTTGACGTGCGCTACCCTTTCAAATCTTCAATAATTAGCGCTGAGTAGATTTTCTTATAAAAGAGACCCTTTGGGTAATCAGGGGGTTGAATTCTTGATTGGAAAGATACTGAAGATACTGGATATATCGCTGAACCCCATTTGAAGTGTTTTGCGATGCCTCAGTTTGCATGGAGGAAAAATACACCCAACATTTTTCTTGCATAGGTGATCAAAAAAACAAGTTGGAACAAGGATAGCCGGTTACTTTAACCATAAGGTGGTCATCATTTTTAGCACTGTGAAATTATAATTATAATGCGAAACTTTACTAAGTCTTGGGCCTATTCGTCCCAACTGTCTTAAGCTTAGGTTCATTTATCCAAATTTCTAGGGTTCATTCATTCCTTTTCTTCAAGATATATTTTGAATTGGGGCACACTTTCGAACTGGGATTTTGAGATCTACTTTTTTATATAGAATCTGTGGTTGTTAATCATTTGAAGAAAGATCCCAGTCTAGAGTTTCCTCCCCCTTTATTTTCGAAGTACTTGTTTTTTCTGCTCTTTATTTCGTTGTATTTGCGCGTGAACGGATTTTTCTCCTCTTCCTTCTTTGCGCTTGACTTCTTTTTGTCGTCCTCCGCAACATCCAGCGCTCTCCTGTTTGCGGCTTTGGCCTTGAAAAACTTTTCTGCTCGAGTGTTGATTGATTTGACCCCGTCAATGGCTCCGCTCAACCGACTTTGAACAGTTTCCTTGAATATTATGAGTTGGCTCAAGTCGACATCTTTGGCGACGAGCGACTTCCTTTGTTCACGCAAGTAACTCAACTTCAGTTTGCAAATCAGTGCGCGAAGTCGCGGAATTTGATTGAGCTCTTCCTCGGAGAGCATTTTCAATTTGATGCCTTTGTTTCTACTTCTGGCCCAGCTACTGATTCTGGAGACACTGGGAATTAAGTTGAATGGAGGCGGCATGGGATCTGCACCGCATATGTAGAGGTACATCAGCTTCGCTTTCTGGAATTTGCAAAGAGTGGCTTCAAACTTGGCAGTGTTTTTGACTGCGAAAATAACCAGAGATATGAGAACGTTCATTCGGACAATGATCATGAGGAAAACATACGCGCCATACATGATAGCAAGTGTCCATTCCTGCATGTTTTCGTAGGAGGGAAACAAGGACAAAATGTCAGCAGAAGGGAGAAACATTCCAAAGAAAAATGTCTCCAACACTTGAAAAAAGTCTTGATATTTCACTAGTTCCTCTAAACTTGACGGGACTAGGTTAGTTTCACACGGAATATTGGTCGGAATAGTCGTTTCATACTTGCCATCGATTTTTCTGCAGTTTTGAATGTAGGCTCGATACGAACGCCATATGATACTATTTGAAGCCACCGAAAATGCAAACAAAACACAGAAGAACAAAATGAAGAAGTAGAAACAAGCTATGAACGCCTCACGTAGAAGAATTTGCTGTCGGCCGACTGTTTCCGTAACTCGGAGAAGTTTGTACATCTTGTAGAATAGCAGCAGAAGCCCTACAGATGTAAACGCGTCAAAAATTTGCAGTGGATGCGCTATTTCGCCGCCAAACGTGCCGATGCCACTGTACCCATCAACAAAGACGTAGGTGTATTTGACCGCGATTCCGTTTATAAAACACCAGTTAGAAAGAATGTTCAAGACATTAACCCAGTCCGAACTGTATACATATATTCCTTCGGCCCAGATATTTAATAATTCTTTGTAAATGTTTCCCAGAGTAAAAACCGAAATGTACCCTTCCGAAATGTAATTTGAAGTTGTGTTTGTCAAGGTTACAGAAATAAAATCAACTGCCTGGCTTTCCAAGTATAAGGCGTACGCATTGGGGCTCGCGATATACGACGCTTTTTGCGTCTCCGTGTACGCTAAGTTATTGGTAATGCAATCTGTTCTGTTGAGTAAAAGCTCCTGCAAGCAAATCCTTTCGGCCGCCAAAACAGGCCAAGTGAGCATGGGGAAAATAGCAGTCTGCACTGAAGCGTCGATGACTACTACAAGCAGTGCAAAGTAGAGAACGCTTTGTGCGATGAAAATCATAAAAGGCATGTCGAGCCATGATTTAATAAATTTAGATGTCGCACTATCGCTTATAGGAAAAACCAGGAACAGGAAAAGCCACACTGGCGTCAAAAGACTTAGGGCAAGAATGAAGAGGGTTTTTTTGGCCACATTGGCTGATTCGAAATCGTTCAAAGCCAGAGGACCGTCCATAAACTTCTTTTTCATTAGCTTCTGGACGCTGCCGCTGGCCACAAAGTCCACGTGATTATGATTCATCGCGTAGCTCAATCGCTCCCAAGGAGTTCCAGGAACCACCAGATTGACGTCATCTGTTGTCATTTGGCCCAACACCAGTTCCAAGTCATCGAAAGTTGGCACAAATTTGATGAAATCGGCTGCGAATTTTTCGCAGCTTTTCTTGATTTCCATCAAATCATCCTTTGCAACGTCTAGCGCGGAAGCCAGTTCCTCGCATTTTTCCGCTATTTTGAAAGCTACCATAATCGGATCCTCGTTCATAACACACAGATACATTGGCTTCGAAAGAGCTAGCAGAGTCTGATAAATGGCGTCAAATCTGATGATGTTATTTGGATCTGAAGGGTCGAACTCTGGGACTTCCAGAGGTTTAGCGCCCCGCGCAAACAGGAATTTCAGCATGGAGTCATTTTCCATCAAGGAAGCAATCATAACTGGCGACTGACCGGGTCTGAATGTAGTGCCAGCCAGAACCTTTCTATTAACCAAATATGGATGTTTTTTAAGCAAGTAATCAACACATGGTTTGTAATCTAGCTGAACTGCAATTAGAAGCTCCTCTTTGATTTTGAATTTATGCTGTTCCACCAAATATTTCACAACATCTATTTCGTGCTTTTGAACAGCATTTCCAAGTAAAGTGTAGCCAAACTCGTCGCGAAAATGAAGATCGAAAAAGTCTTTCATGATGGCGGCTTTGTCGACCACTTTTTCGAGTTCTTCCACTGGGCGTGATTTCTCCAGACATTTATTCATCAGCTTCTGTAGCTTTTTCATCACTTCTTCCGGATCGTCGTCTTCTGGCATGTAATCCCGCCGCTTTTTCATTGGAAAGACGTTTTTGGCCATAACTACTAGCCTCTGTAATCTATTTTTTTACTAGACTAAGAACGCTTATCAAATAAACGCGTTTGCTATATATTAAGCATTGTTTCTCTTCTTAGACTGTTCTTTTTTAATGATTCAAAAGTGAAACTGACGTCTGAAGAAAGTTTATAATGAAACATAATAAATGAGATAAACTCAATGCAGAGACTTTTACAATAAGTATCAAGCCGACTTTAAATTTGGTGTTAAAGCTTATTTTAGCATTTTAGCTTTTTACACGATTGAACTATTTTTTTGGAACTTTCATGCGTTTGGAACTTAATTTTTAGTTTGCTCGTTTGTCATTCAATCATTGAGAATATAAAAAAAAATTTTAGAACCAAATTGTATGGCATCCATAAAGCAACAAGAATGTTTCTTTCCCGAAATTTTGTCATTCTTGAAGGTGAAGTCAAACAGTGGTTAGTGTTTGATGTAAACACAAAAACGCAGATTCCACCATTGATAATGAGCTAGTGTATGATGCTTGAATATGCCAGTAACAAGCAACAATCAACGCCCGGTTGCATTTCATAGGCGAGAAAACATTGAGGCGTTTGAAATTTTTGTGCGGCAATGACACATCATCGTTAGAGTTAGCAAACATGCTTTCCTTTGCGACTAGTTGTCCTCCGGAATCACGACATATTATTGCGTTCATTTTAGAAACTGAAGTTTTGATTTTTGACCAAACACAGGATGTAAACTATCTCTACCACCGATTGTACATGGCTTGCACCAAACTCACGAGGTGCAGTTTTGCCACCAAGACGCGCTAATTATTTTCGGTGAATGTGATAGAAAAATTGCATATTGCAAAAGAAAGAAGAAATCAAAACGGTTTAAGCGAACAAGTCAAAATTGCCGACGACTGTCTCTGTTTCAACGTTTTTTATTTTCCGGAACCACTAGCCGGGAAGTTGGTAAAAAGGAACGATATAGAACATGAATGGGATGACGAGATGTGCTGCAGAAAAGAAGAGGTTATGCGAAGATCAGGATCGGATATATTTCGAGCAGACTGCTGCGATCCTGAGCATGGGGTAACTTTTAAACACCAGCATGCTATCCTTCTCTAAACAGGGGACAACAGCGGTTCCGTTTTGAAGAATTGGCAGTCAAAAAAATCAGCTTTGAGACACACTTTTTGTTACATGTTCAATTTCATAAATGCTCAAGGATAAACTTCTAAAACCTTCAGTTTATCCTTAGCTGGGTCGAGGTGATCGATTTATGTTTCGACTTTCTCGACCAAAAACCGGTGAAAATATAAATCAAGTTTGTTCTAAAAATCGAAAAGTTATAGATATTTTTCATAAAACTAAAAACTTCATCGCCATTTTTTTACAGCCTGAAGTAGGCCTGACAAGGTTTTGTTTTGAAACAACAGTTTGTATCAGATTACATGATTCCGTGTTATCTGATTTTAAAAAAAATACGCCCCAAGTTCTTTCCCACTTCAAATTCGGTAGACGGTAACCAATTGCAAAACTTGTAAATAACACAGTAATAAAATATTCTGATACTACGATCTATGTACAACTAATGCACAATTACTTAATAAGGTAAAACGGATATTATAGACTGTGTTAATTTAAAACGTTCTAAAAGGACAACTGAACGAACACTCTACGATCGACCGATGGTCGTATCGAACTAAGTTAACTGTTATTTAATTAATACCGAAGGTCATTTAAAACAGCTAAAAACAAGTCACAACATTTCCCATCGGAAAAAAAATAAAATTACTAATCGCTAACTAATTCTATATACACCCATTTTCCCCATTCAAAGTAGGAACCAACTTTTCCAAACTGCGCCATGAAAATGAATAGTACAGCAAGTAAAATAGTATCTACAAATGAAAATGGGAAGGTACAAATGTACAGGTTGAACATACATAATTTACAATTTTACAGAAAATAAGATAAAAACAAAATAACTAAGCTAAGGATTAATGATCTACAAAGTGTACATTTAACATGTACAACAAAATCTACAGCAAAAATGCTCGATTAGGAGAATATAAAGTGTATTAAAAAACGGTCATGTTTTTTTTCTTGAGATTTTGAGAATCAATTAAATTTTTCATCGAAATCGTCTAATTTGGCTTTTACTTCTGTGTCAATGGTCGAAAACATTTCGCTCGATTTGTCTAACTCGTCCAGTGTGTCGTTGATGGTCGGTTGTGCTGAAGATTGGGATCCAGAAGAGGTGTTTTTAATAGGGACATGATTGGCGAATAATTTGGTTTGTCCGATGGGCATTTTTTCGATGACCAAGTCAAAGTTTCTGCGACAAGGTTTCTGCAACAAGAGTTCGTACAGGTGGGGCCTCCGCTAAAGGTGTCAATAGGTCCGATGGAGAAGAAATCACGAAAATTGCCCTGGGTTTATCGTAAAAATTAGGCTGCGTTGGAAGTGTGGTCTCTGTTTCATCTCTTTCGAGCATTACATCGATAAATCGGCGGTCTCCGAAAAGTTTAGGAGAGCCAACGTCCTTGCGCGGTCTTGCGTGTCTTGGAAGAATGATAGGTTCCGCCACAGACTCTGTGACACTGTATATTATGATTGGGTAACCTTCCGAACCTTCTATCTCGGCAGAGTCAGGAACATTTATAATCGCCCGTTGGTCGGTGTTGACTGATAGATTTGGTCTCACTTGTGGGGAGTCGGCAATACCTGTAACGCTTAACCCTTGATTAGACTCGGATTGGTGACTCGAGGGTAGATTAATATTAGTCATATCGTCAAAATAATCGTCTATAATCCCGTCCCAAGAGTTTAAATTCAAGGATGACGAAAAATCTGAAGAAATCTGGATGAAATCTTGATGAATGGTTCAAGCTCCACGAGTTTTTTGGGGCCAGGGAGTAGTTTTCCTTTAATTGCCAAATCAGATTTACGTAAAATATGACCGTTATCGAGAGTTATAGTGTGGTCTGAAGAGTCAATGATGTCCTTCTATACTGAGTTAAAATAGGGTTCCCCGTTTTTCCTGTTTGTAGCCCTTCTATATAGATTAACTCCAGCAACAGTTTTTTTGTGGTAGACCCTCTAGATTGATCGTGGCCCTCTGGGGTTGTTCTGTTCGTGATTGCATTCGCTAGCGGTAGATTTTCTTCCGGGTCCTGGTCTTTCTCTTCACCCAGGTACCCGTCTTCCGCTCCGTCGTGCAATTCCCAGTTGCTGGCCCGTCGGTTGGATAAGATCGATTTCCCTTCATCTAAATGGTCATCAAAGGAAATCAGATTTTTCCATCCAAAAAATGCCATTCTTTTAAAGTGTTTTTTGAAGGGGGTACAACCGATTGAAGATTGCTTAGAGATTCTCAAGTTCCAGATAGTTTTTTTGATCGATGAGTTTAGAGAAGGCTTAGGTAACTCGAATGACAATGCCAGTAACTTTGATTGTATTGTATAAATTAATCTTTCCACCAGCCCATTGGATCTATGGTCGCCAACTGTACAATAAATGATCTCGATGCTGAATTTTTGCAGGAATTTTAAAAATCGTTTGATAAAAAGCAATACCCATGGTCGACTCGAATTTTTTTGGGAAACCGTGAAGGTGGCAGTAGTCGTTTAAGAAAGAAATCACATTATTAGCGGACGTGTTATTTGCTATCTTGAACGATGGGAACTTGGTAAGTTGGTCGACACATAGGAGATTGTGTTTTTTACATTTCCCGAGCGCGTCCAACGGTCCTGCGAAATTCAAGTTTTCTTTCTTCCTTAGCGAATGTCAAATTGACAGTTTTGTAATGTTGTCGGTAAAACTAGGAGGTCCTTACCTTGTTTTCAAGCATTGGCTACAAGACTTCCCGTGATGGTAGATCTCTCGGTATATGAGCGGCCGCAACATATATTCTTCGAACGACTTCATCTTAAACTGGCCTGGGTGGGTCTCGTGAAGCATGGTAAAAAAAAGTTCCCCTGATTGTGGCTGGTTCGACTTGTTTGTTGTCGAGAAAAAGTAGGAAGGTGTAGGTCCTAGCAAATTTTTTCATGTACGCTCCGTGGATGCCCATTGAACGATTCGTCTTTATTGTCTCGAACAAGTCCCATATCACTTTAGCTTCCCTGGTCATTAATTGAAGGAGTTTCAGTATCTTTGAGCAGTGATTTTTGGGTAGAATAGGGGGCGTTGGTAGGTTTAAATCTGATTTATAACTCATGACCTGGTGCGCGTGGTCGTCTGGAAGGTGGTCATGTTTGAATTTAAGAGCGATATTTTGTTCTTCGGGAATTTTTAGTAAAGGGTCGGTATATTCCTCCATTTTTGGAAAGTTTTATCTCTTTTAGGTTTGTGGAAAAAATTCTTTATTTTTTAGAATAAAATGTAAAAGGACCTTGTCCGTGAAAGTGATGCTCTTGAAGTTGAATTTCTAATTATCCATAGGTAGGCACTTTGAAGTACATTTTTCTGTACGAGTGTGAGAATGATCAGAATTTTTTATCGACCGAGCAAAACAAGATATAGTAGCGACAATAATCTTGAGTTTGAAATAAGCTAAAGAGCTATTTAAAAAGCCTTGACCAACCATATCGCTTGAATTTTCTACTCCCGTAGTAATAGTTTTTACAGCGATCGGCGGTCTATCGATTATAATTGATTATAGTTCTTACTAAAAAACCCTTAAAGTCACATTTAATAGATCATAATCGATTATAATCGATTAGAATCGAATATAATCTCTTATTTCGCTAAAATTTTCCTATATTTGAACTTCATCTTATGGGTTATTATTTTTGTGTCAATAAGAAAATCTCTAGAAGAGAGAGATCTCATGAACGTTTTGGTTCATCTGAACACAAAGTTTTACCACGAAACAAAAATTTAAAACAGATCCTTTCATATGATAGGAAAGGTTCTCGCGGTAGATGAAAAAAAAATTTCCGAATCAATCATGGAACTAAATCAATTTGCTGATGTCTTAGTGTTTCAAAAGCTTAAAACATGCATCACAAAACAGCTCTAATGGTGCAGAAATTAAAAAAAAATTATAAAAATGAAATAGAAAAACTGAAAAAAAATTCTCATTTTTCATAGGAACCAACGTTCACTAAAAGCATAAATAATAAGCTATATAGATGCAATTTTGAAGACAAAAATGGACAAACAAAAGTGATTATAATCTATTAAAATCGATTATAATGGATTAGATCATAGGTACCTCAGTTGTTGATTCGACTTGGTGCCCGACTTCGCGCAATTGTATGTAACAATCATATGTGTTTTTGAATTTGTGTTGCTCTATATTTCGCCTAATTTACCTACCATGTTTTCGACTGTTTCGTAGTTGTGTTCTACTGGAAGTGTTGTTTTTTTTTAAACCGTCTGGAATTCGGTAAAAAAAGATACTGTAACACTTCTTCCCTAGTTAACGTAAGAGCCGAAGAAAACCAAATGTCGCAAAGTTACGCTGAAGTCCTGCAAACTGGATGTTCAGCTATTTAATGGAATCGAAAAATAAAATAACGTCTAACCCAGAAAATGCTTGTTCTGCTGATGCTCGAAGTGACTGAGGAATTTGCATTACAGCTAGTGGTGATTTTATATTACATATTTTAAAATTTTGCTAAATAGTACGAACGAGCTAGCTTCGACTATACTAATAGAGGCCCAACATAGAAAGTTCCATGGGTATGGTTAGCTTGGGTGTTTGTATGTAAGTAATTACCTTTCGGTTTTGTATGTTAATAAAAATGCTTACATACAAACACCCAAGCTAACCATACCCATGGAACTTTCTATGTCTTGTCCTAACCCCAAGTGTTCGGACGACCCCAAAGCTAGTTTTGTAAAGGAAACTCCTATTCTTTGGAATGGAAAGATGTTAACTTAATAAGTACCCAGGTCATTGTGATACCCAGGTCATTGTGAGGTTTCTTACTTCAATCTCTTCATTAAAACAATTAGAAATTTAATAACTTTAATAACCATCACACAGCGATAGATATTTTATATGCGTTATATTAAATCAATTTGAGATAAGTTCAGCCTAATGCGCTTATCCATCAGTGGGGCGAGGAGCCGCACATTTCCTTTACTTCGTCCGATCCATCGGGGCACTCCTTCTGTCCATCGCACAGCGAAGACATAGGCAGACATCTGTTCCCATCGGCACACACGAACTTCTGTGGGTAGGGACACTCTCGGTTGTTCCTGTCGAACATCACTTTCGGTCTGTTGCAGATACTCTCGTCAGAGTTGTCCGGACAGTCTCGTCTCCCGTTGCACGTCGCACTATAAAACCATGGCTTATGTTTGTATCATTAAGCAGAATCATTAACGACGCTCAACTTGGAAGTACTCATTTATCAAGCGATAAATTAGTTTATAAGGTTGGATAAGTTTGCTTCCGATAAGTGAACAAAATACTGTTTCTTACGTCAATGGTGCGCAGTTGTTGTCCGTGCAACCGAACTCTTTGATCTTGCAGGTATAGTTCATGTTCTTGGGTGGCAGGATAGCGCAGTTCTCTTCGTCATCACCCCACATGCAATCTTTGACCTGGTCACAAATCTGGTGCCACTTGAGACACCTGGACTTGTCAGCACAGAGGTATCCCTGACACAGCTCAGTCGTACACCAGAGACCTTCGTCTTCCCCATCCGGACAATTAGAATATCCATCACAGAGTTCCCGCTCGTCGATACAGTGAGGTTCGGTGTAGAAGTCATCTGTCGTGCACTCGTATTCCTTTTTGCCACAGCTGGCTCTGGGGAACGGCTTAACTGGCTTGCAGAACTCAGCTTCATCCTCGCCATGACGACAATTCCAGACCTCATCGCAAACGCAGCTGAAAGAAATCGAATCATACTCACAAGGCTAAATAAATATCAGGGTGCATTTGATAAAACAGCTGATATTTGGAACCAAATGCAAACTTACTTCATAGGGATGCAGGAAGAATCGGAGCACATGAATTCTTTAGGTCCACAAGTGGGCGGAGGAGGAGCAGTAGGCGCAGTCGGGCAGAACTCGCTTTCGTCTTCGCCAAATCGGCAGTCCATCTTCCCATCACAAACATGAGTTTCCAAAATACAGCTGCGGTCTTGACAAGTAAACTCGTGCACTTTGCATGGTGGCTTGGGAGCGGGAGGAACTGGGAGTCCTTTGCAATAAATTCCTTCGTCGGTTCCGTATTTACAATCCCATCGTCCATCACAAACCAAGTTCTGCGAGATACATGTTCCATCTGAGCACGTGAAATCTTTGGCGCTGCACAAGTTTCCAGGCTTGACAGGTGGTTGAGTAGGGCAGAATTCACCTTCATCCTCACCTCCAGCGCAGTTCCAAATACCGTCGCAAACTTCCTCTTCGAAGATACAAGTCATATCTGGGCATGTAAATTGGCCTTCGCCGCATTTAGGTTTGGGGTTCTCGGGTTCAGGCAGTGGCTGGCAATAGATTCCTTCATCCTCACCATCCGGACAATCCCACCTCTTGTTGCACAACTGGGTAAACGGGATGCAAGAAGCATCAGAACACATGAATTTTCCATCAGCGCAAGTTGGAGGAGCAATGGTTGGAGGCATTGTTGGGCAGAATGCACCTTCGTCCTCTCCGTTTTTACAATGCCACAATCCGTCGCAAACGTATTTATCATCGATACATTTTCTATCCGAGCAGGTGAACTCATCTCTTCTGCAGTGGGGCTTGGACTTCTCAGGCTCTGGGGGTTTGCAGAACTGAGCCTCGTCTTCTCCTTTCTTGCAGTTCCATCTTCCGTCGCACACCATCACATGATCAATACAGTACCCATCCGCGCACATGAACTCATCAACTCCACATTCAGGTGCTGGTTTTGGTTCCAGAGGGTTAGGGCAGAAAGGACCCTCATCTTCACCTTTAATGCAATCTCGTTTGCGGTCACAGACGTACTTGGCTGGGATACATTTCTGGTCAGAGCAAGTAAATTGATCTCCTCCGCAAACTGGTGGGGGAGGGGGAAGTGTAGGCAGGGGTTTGCAGAAGCGTCCCTCATCTTCTCCTGATGCACAATGCCATTGGCTGTCACAGACGTAGAAATGAGGAATGCAAGATCCATCTCGGCATGTGAATTGGTTATCGCCACAAGTAGTCGGTTCAGGTCTAGGCTTGTCAATTGGGCAAAAAGTTCCCTCGTCCTCTGATCTTGCGCAATCAGCACGTCCGTTACAAACCATGAACAGAGAAATACAACTGTAGTCGTTGCACATGTACTGGTTCATTCCGCATACCTTGTCATCTACAGTCACCTTAACGTCGCAGAACTCATGTTCGTCTTCGCCAAACTTGCAGTTCCAAACGCCGTCACATACGAATCGTTTTTGAATGCATTTTCCATCGCTGCACATGAATTGATTGGTCATACACAATTTTCCAGGGATAGGGTCCGGTTTGGGAGGACAGAAGGCTCCTTCGTCTTCGCCATTCCGGCAGTGGCCGTATCCATCACATACAAACTCGATATCAATGCATTTACCATCATTGCAAGTGAATTCCTTCGAGCTACAAGAGGGATACTCTACTTCAATTATTTCAGCCTCGCAGAAAGGACCTTCATCTTCGCCATAACTGCAGTCCAGTTTACCATTGCAGAGACATGTTTGCACAACACACTTGCCGTCATTGCACATGAATTCAGTCTCGGGGTCACAAGCGGGTTGAGGTCGGATTGGAGCTGGTGCGGTTGGGCAAAAATCACCCTCATCTTCACCTTTGGGGCAATGCTGAAACCCATCGCACACGTTCCTTACATCAATACAGCTTAAATCTGAAGCGCACATAAATTGTCCTTGTCTGCAAGTTGGCTTAGGTTCAAGTGGTTCCGGAGTAGCACAAAAATCGCCTTCGTCTTCAGCATAATCGCAGTTGATGTCTCCGTCACACAAGCAGTAAAGTGGGATACATTTTCCATTGAAGCACTGGAACTCATCCCTTCCGCAAGCAGGAGTCTTAATCGGTATAGGAGGCTTTGGACACCAGGTTCCTTCATCGGAACCATCCGCACAGTCCGGTTGTCCATCACAAACTTTAGACATCAACAAGCATGTGCCATCGTTACAAGTGATTTCATTGTTAGCACATTCGTTGTCAGGGATGGGATCAGCGCAAAAAAGTTCATCTGTCCCGTCAGCGCAGTTGGCAAAGTTATTGCAAATATTCTCCGGGTCAACACATTTGGTCCCTGAACAACGAATGCTTGTTAGAGTTGACAAGTCTCAGACCATAAACTTAATGGTAGCAGTTAACACCTTCAAGCCGGGCTAAAAACGGCTGGTGACAAATAACTTCGTGTCAAAAGGCGGTTAATGATTAAAGTTGATCGTAGGCTTAATACCTGATACGGGACTAACTTTTCGTCAGGAAGCTATGTACCTTAGCTTTTTACAATATGCATAACTATGGCTCAAATCCGAAAAACACCATATACTCACCGCTGTCGCATTTCAGAGCGTCTGGTCCGCAAACAAGTCCAGGTCGCACCGGGTCATTGCAGATGCTCTCATCTGATCTGTCTTGGCAGTCATCAATATTGTCGCAAGTGAATGATTTCGGAATGCACTTCAAACCATCTTGACACGCGTATTCTCGCTCCGTGCATTCTAAAGTTAAAATATCCTTTGAGAAACTAAATCACCTTAATTGGAATAGAAGTTAATTTAAAAATGCTAATTGCCATACAATAATATGAACTTGCAAATCGAAATCGTCCAAGCATAAGTTCTCCTTTGAATAAAAAGATTCGATGAATTTCCATCTTACCCCTGGGAGGTTCCGGCTTCAGCCCGCATCCATCTTCATCGGATGCATCTGGACAGTTGGCCTCATTGTTGCATAGTGCTGAAAACGACAAGCAAGTTTGAGTAGGTCCACACTCGAACTGGAAGATGGGACAGAGGGGAGGTGAGGTCCTCTTCTGGTGAGTCAGCCGCTCAAAGTAGTTCTCATTGTTCAGTTTTCTACTGGCTCGTAGAATTGTATCCTTCAGCGCAACTTCTTCGCCTGTAAACACACATTATTATCTTCCATGATGACGCCATATAAAAGGATTCCGAAATGTTAAAGCCCAAATTTGAAGTTCAGATCGGTATCACCCTTTCACTTGTTTTTTCTAAACACGATTAAATTCCAAACAACCTTTATTTGAGGTGCGCAAGCATTGATATTTTGCTTCAAGACTCCTTGATGTTCAAAAAAACCAACAGTTCCTAAAGTTCTCTCCTAACCGAATACTTCAGATGTGATAGTAATAAGAATCAGAATGCTCCGTGCCGTCCACATAGTTAGCTCCTCGTCGATAACTAAACTGCCAGAAGTATGAACTCTTACAGCAGCTCAACTCTTATTCTTACAGTCGTAATTAATTATGTACCTGCCCAGAAGCTTAACCGAGGTTAATTAAAACCCTCTTTCTGTGGTCTGCTTATTGAATTTGGAAGATTTATGAAGAATGAACTAGTTCAAGGACACGTCAATTTTGTGCGCAACGGATTTCGCTGGTCATGTCATTAAAAACAAGCCATTCGATTTTCGAAATACCGTATGTAAAAAACCGGTGACTTGAAAAGTGGCGGGGCGTAACGTTTTTCAGTGTTAGTGAAGAACTCTAAGAAAAAATCCGAACCCCGAAGAACGGATCTGAATATCACCCTTACTTTTGATTTTGATTAAGTTCTGCAGTTGAAGTAATACAGAATCGTGTATTTCACTTAACCAACTTAAATTTGAGGAGAGGTTGGGGTTTTGGTTCTTCCCACACTTCCCTCCCACGAGTTCACTGTACCCACCCGGGTAGTTTGTTTGCCATGCTAAACTTTCTGGCGTTATGAAAGTCTAAAAAACTTAAATTCAAAAGAGGTAGTGGAAAAGAGAAGATTTCCTTAACCTCTTTATAAAATGTTTTCAAGCGGAAAGGTTCGTTTAAGTAATTGGGAATCACGAAGGTGCGGAGGATCAAATTCGACAGCAATTAAAAGTGCACGTTTTTGGAATGCGGAAGAACTCTTTCCCTCCTTTCGCCCACACTAGTTAGCTAAAATAAGTGAAAAATCCTTGAAAGCATCCCTGAGATACCAAATATAATTTAACGGTTCATCGTAGTATCTACTTTTGATTCAGATTTAAGCGAGCAGCCATCCATTGTGTACATCTTTATTTATAGTTAGGTTCTTGTTCTACATGCATAGACTTTTTCTTGAAAAAAAAAGACTTCTGAATTAAATATTTTTCCAAGGAATTATTTGAAAGTATCAGTTTGATCGGCATACTAAAATTAATTTTGACATTTTTTGCTTAGTTTGATTGAATATTGTTTGTCCATATTTTTTTTTGCGGACGGGATGATTCTTCTTTAAATGTCTAGGGAAGTCTAGGACAACAGGCCCGCGGGACTACAAGCGAAAAAGACGTCAGGTCGAAATTTAAACCTCACAAGCACCTTAAAGCTCTAGTTTTTTTCTATAAAATGTTTAGGCGAAATTAAACCACACTAATTGTTCTTCCGACAAGGCAAAGTTTTGGAATACATAAAATTATAAACATGAAAAAACTTCTACAATAACGTTTTAATTTTCAACATTCTGAAATATCAATAACCAATTCAAGTATTATCAAAAAGCCAATAACTGATAACAAAATATCAAAAGCCTGAGAAAGTTTTCATCACAGGCTTCAAAAGAATCAAACTTTTTGACTTAGTTAGTAAAATGTTAGCATGAAGTCCTTAATTTTTACTATTTTGCATGAAGTCTTGTCGGAGTGATGCCTGACATCCTGTTCAGCGGTCTAATTGAAGACATCGTTTGTAGTACATATTTTTGCGTTCACAAACATCACACACGCATCCATTTTTTGGGTAAATTTTGGACCAGAATGGTAAAATCAAAATTGCAGCATAGTTTTTGCTGAAATTCTATGCAAGAATTGCTCTCATTGTTTTTTGTTTAAAACTGATGAAGTTTCCAAAAGATGAGTAATCAATGTAAAATTTATAAGGCAGCTGTATAGTTCCAAAAAATCTAAATTTACTACACTTAAACTGGTCCCTATTTCATATAGCCAAATACAATTAATTTTAAATCCATAGATGTGATATAGTATTATATTACATATTTTAAAATTTTGCTAAATAGTACGAACGAGCTAGCTTCGACTATACTAATAGAGGCCCAACATAGAAAGTTCCATGGGTATGGTTAGCTTGGGTGTTTGTATGTAAGTAATTACCTTTCGGTTTTGTATGTTAATAAAAATGCTTACATACAAACACCCAAGCTAACCATACCCATGGAACTTTCTATGTCTTGTCCTAACCCCAAGTGTTCGGACGACCCCAAAGCTAGTTTTGTAAAGGAAACTCCTATTCTTTGGAATGGAAAGATGTTAACTTAATAAGTACCCAGGTCATTGTGATACCCAGGTCATTGTGAGGTTTCTTACTTCAATCTCTTCATTAAAACAATTAGAAATTTAATAACTTTAATAACCATCACACAGCGATAGATATTTTATATGCGTTATATTAAATCAATTTGAGATAAGTTCAGCCTAATGCGCTTATCCATCAGTGGGGCGAGGAGCCGCACATTTCCTTTACTTCGTCCGATCCATCGGGGCACTCCTTCTGTCCATCGCACAGCGAAGACATAGGCAGACATCTGTTCCCATCGGCACACACGAACTTCTGTGGGTAGGGACACTCTCGGTTGTTCCTGTCGAACATCACTTTCGGTCTGTTGCAGATACTCTCGTCAGAGTTGTCCGGACAGTCTCGTCTCCCGTTGCACGTCGCACTATAAAACCATGGCTTATGTTTGTATCATTAAGCAGAATCATTAACGACGCTCAACTTGTTGTCCGTGCAACCGAACTCTTTGATCTTGCAGGTATAGTTCATGTTCTTGGGTGGCAGGATAGCGCAGTTCTCTTCGTCATCACCCCACATGCAATCTTTGACCTGGTCACAAATCTGGTGCCACTTGAGACACCTGGACTTGTCAGCACAGAGGTATCCCTGACACAGCTCAGTCGTACACCAGAGACCTTCGTCTTCCCCATCCGGACAATTAGAATATCCATCACAGAGTTCCCGCTCGTCGATACAGTGAGGTTCGGTGTAGAAGTCATCTGTCGTGCACTCGTATTCCTTTTTGCCACAGCTGGCTCTGGGGAACGGCTTAACTGGCTTGCAGAACTCAGCTTCATCCTCGCCATGACGACAATTCCAGACCTCATCGCAAACGCAGCTGAAAGAAATCGAATCATACTCACAAGGCTAAATAAATATCAGGGTGCATTTGATAAAACAGCTGATATTTGGAACCAAATGCAAACTTACTTCATAGGGATGCAGGAAGAATCGGAGCACATGAATTCTTTAGGTCCACAAGTGGGCGGAGGAGGAGCAGTAGGCGCAGTCGGGCAGAACTCGCTTTCGTCTTCGCCAAATCGGCAGTCCATCTTCCCATCACAAACATGAGTTTCCAAAATACAGCTGCGGTCTTGACAAGTAAACTCGTGCACTTTGCATGGTGGCTTGGGAGCGGGAGGAACTGGGAGTCCTTTGCAATAAATTCCTTCGTCGGTTCCGTATTTACAATCCCATCGTCCATCACAAACCAAGTTCTGCGAGATACATGTTCCATCTGAGCACGTGAAATCTTTGGCGCTGCACAAGTTTCCAGGCTTGACAGGTGGTTGAGTAGGGCAGAATTCACCTTCATCCTCACCTCCAGCGCAGTTCCAAATACCGTCGCAAACTTCCTCTTCGAAGATACAAGTCATATCTGGGCATGTAAATTGGCCTTCGCCGCATTTAGGTTTGGGGTTCTCGGGTTCAGGCAGTGGCTGGCAATAGATTCCTTCATCCTCACCATCCGGACAATCCCACCTCTTGTTGCACAACTGGGTAAACGGGATGCAAGAAGCATCAGAACACATGAATTTTCCATCAGCGCAAGTTGGAGGAGCAATGGTTGGAGGCATTGTTGGGCAGAATGCACCTTCGTCCTCTCCGTGTTTACAATGCCACAATCCGTCGCAAACGTATTTATCATCGATACATTTTCTATCCGAGCAGGTGAACTCATCTCTTCTGCAGTGGGGCTTGAACTTCTCAGGCTCTGGGGGTTTGCAGAACTGAGCCTCGTCTTCTCCTTTCTTGCAGTTCCATCTTCCGTCGCACACCATCACATGATCAATACAGTACCCATCCGCGCACATGAACTCATCAACTCCACATTCAGGTGCTGGTTTTGGTTCCAGAGGGTTAGGGCAGAAAGGACCTTCATCTTCACCTTTAATGCAATCTCGTTTGCGGTCACAGACGTACTTGGCTGGGATACATTTCTGGTCAGAGCAAGTAAATTGATCTCCTCCGCAAACTGGTGGGGGAGGGGGAAGTGTAGGCGGGGGTTTGCAGAAGCGTCCCTCATCTTCTCCTGATGCACAATGCCATTGGCTGTCACAGACGTAGAAATGAGGAATGCAAGATCCATCTCGGCATGTGAATTGGTTATCGCCACAAGTAGTCGGTTCAGGTCTAGGCTTGTCAATTGGGCAAAAAGTTCCCTCGTCCTCTGATCTTGCGCAATCAGCACGTCCGTTACAAACCATGAACAGAGAAATACAACTGTAGTCGTTGCACATGTACTGGTTCATTCCGCATACCTTGTCATCTACAGTCACCTTAACGTCGCAGAACTCATGTTCGTCTTCGCCAAACTTGCAGTTCCAAACGCCGTCACATACGAATCGTTTTTGAATGCATTTTCCATCGCTGCACATGAATTGATTGGTCATACGCAATTTTCCAGGGATAGGGTCCGGTTTGGGAGGACAGAAGGCTCCTTCGTCTTCGCCATTCCGGCAGTGGCCGTATCCATCACATACAAACTCGATATCAATGCATTTACCATCATTGCAAGTGAATTCCTTCGAGCTACAAGAGGGATACTCTACTTCAATTATTTCAGCCTCGCAGAAAGGACCTTCATCTTCGCCATAACTGCAGTCCAGTTTACCATTGCAGAGACATGTTTGCACAACACACTTGCCGTCATTGCACATGAATTCAGTCTCGGGGTCACAAGCGGGTTGAGGTCGGATTGGAGCTGGTGCGGTTGGGCAAAAATCACCCTCATCTTCACCTTTGGGGCAATGCTGAAACCCATCGCACACGTTCCTTACATCAATACAGCTTAAATCTGAAGCGCACATAAATTGTCCTTGTCTGCAAGTTGGCTTAGGTTCAAGTGGTTCCGGAGTAGCACAAAAATCGCCTTCGTCTTCAGCATAATCGCAGTTGATGTCTCCGTCACACAAGCAGTAAAGTGGGATACATTTTCCATTGAAGCACTGGAACTCATCCCTTCCGCAAGCAGGAGTCTTAATCGGTATAGGAGGCTTTGGACACCAGGTTCCTTCATCGGAACCATCCGCACAGTCCGGTTGTCCATCACAAACTTTAGACATCAACAAGCATGTGCCATCGTTACAAGTGATTTCATTGTTAGCACATTCGTTGTCAGGGATGGGATCAGCGCAAAAAAGTTCATCTGTCCCGTCAGCGCAGTTGGCAAAGTTATTGCAAATATTCTCCGGGTCAACACATTTGGTCCCTGAACAACGAATGCTTGTTAGAGTTGACAAGTCTCAGACCATAAACTTAATGGTAGCAGTTAACACCTTCAAGCCGGGCTAAAAACGGCTGGTGACAAATAACTTCGTGTCAAAAGGCGGTTAATGATTAAAGTTGATCGTAGGCTTAATACCTGATACGGGACTAACTTTTCGTCAGGAAGCTATGTACCTTAGCTTTTTACAATATGCATAACTATGGCTCAAATCCGAAAAACACCATATACTCACCGCTGTCGCATTTCAGAGCGTCTGGTCCGCAAACAAGTCCAGGTCGCACCGGGTCATTGCAGATGCTCTCACCTGATCTGTCTTGGCAGTCATCAATATTGTCGCAAGTGAATGATTTCGGAATGCACTTCAAACCATCTTGACACGCGTATTCTCGCTCCGTGCATTCTAAAGTTAAAATATCCTTTGAGAAACTAAATCACCTTAATTGGAATAGAAGTTAATTTAAAAATGCTAATTGCCATACAATAATATGAACTTGCAAATCGAAATCGTCCAAGCATAAGTTCTCCTTTGAATAAAAAGATTCGATGAATTTCCATCTTACCCCTGGGAGGTTCCGGCTTCAGCCCGCATCCATCTTCATCGGATGCATCTGGACAGTTGGCCTCATTGTTGCATAGTGCTGAAAACGACAAGCAAGTGTGAGTAGGTCCACACTCGAACTGGAAGATGGGACAGAGGGGAGGTGAGGTCCTCTTCTGGTGAGTCAGCCGCTCAAAGTAGTTCTCATTGTTCAGTTTTCTACTGGCTCGTAGAATTGTATCCTTCAGCGCAACTTCTTCGCCTGTAAACACACATTATTATCTTCCATGATGACGCCATATAAAAGGATTCCGAAATGTTAAAGCCCAAATTTGAAGTTCAGATCGGTATCACCCTTTCACTTGTTTTTTCTAAACACGATTAAATTCCAAACAACCTTTATTTGAGGTGCGCAAGCATTGATATTTTGCTTCAAGACTCCTTGATGTTCAAAAAAACCAACAGTTCCTAAAGTTCTCTCCTAACCGAATACTTCAGATGTGATAGTAATAAGAATCAGAATGCTCCGTGCCGTCCACATAGTTAGCTCCTCGTCGATAACTAAACTGCCAGAAGTATGAACTCTTACAGCAGCTCAACTCTTATTCTTACAGTCGTAATTAATTATGTACCTGCCCAGAAGCTTAACCGAGGTTAATTAAAACCCTCTTTCTGTGGTCTGCTTATTGAATTTGGAAGATTTATGAAGAATGAACTAGTTCAAGGACACGTCAATTTTGTGCGCAACGGATTTCGCTGGTCATGTCATTAAAAACAAGCCATTCGATTTTCGAAATACCGTATGTAAAAAACCGGTGACTTGAAAAGTGGCGGGGCGTAACGTTTTTCAGTGTTAGTGAAGAACTCTAAGAAAAAATCCGAACCCCGAAGAACGGATCTGAATATCACCCTTACTTTTGATTTTGATTAAGTTCTGCAGTTGAAGTAATACAGAATCGTGTATTTCACTTAACCAACTTAAATTTGAGGAGAGGTTGGGGTTTTGGTTCTTCCCACACTTCCCTCCCACGAGTTCACTGTACCCACCCGGGTAGTTTGTTTGCCATGCTAAACTTTCTGGCGTTATGAAAGTCTAAAAAACTTAAATTCAAAAGAGGTAGTGGAAAAGAGAAGATTTCCTTAACCTCTTTATAAAATGTTTTCAAGCGGAAAGGTTCGTTTAAGTAATTGGGAATCACGAAGGTGCGGAGGATCAAATTCGACAGCAATTAAAAGTGCACGTTTTTGGAATGCGGAAGAACTCTTTCCCTCCTTTCGCCCACACTAGTTAGCTAAAATAAGTGAAAAATCCATGAAAGCATCCCTGAGATACCAAATATAATTTAACGGTTCATCGTAGTATCTACTTTTGATTCAGATTTAAGCGAGCAGCCATCCATTGTGTACATCTTTATTTATAGTTAGGTTCTTGTTCTACATGCATAGACTTTTTCTTGAAAAAAAAAGACTTCTGAATTAAATATTTTTCCAAGGAATTATTTTAAAGTATCAGTTTGATCGGCATACTAAAATTAATTTTGACATTTTTTGCTTAGTTTGATTGAATATTGTTTGTCCATATTTTTTTTTGCGGACGGGATGATTCTTCTTTAAATGTCTAGGGAAGTCTAGGACAACAGGCCCGCGGGACTACAAGCGAAAAAGACGTCAGGTCGAAATTTAAACCTCACAAGCACCTTAAAGCTCTAGTTTTTTTCTATAAAATGTTTAGGCGAAATTAAACCACACTAATTGTTCTTACGACAAGGCAAAGTTTTGGAATACATAAAATTATAAACATGAAAAAACTTCTACAATAACGTTTAAATTTTCAACATTCTGAAATATCAATAACCAATTCAAGTTTTATCAAAAAGCCAATAACTGATAACAAAATATCAAAAGCCTGAGAAAGTTTTCATCACAGGCTTCAAAAGAATCAAACTTTTTGACTTAGTCAGTAAAATGTTAGCATGAAGCCCTTAATTTTTACTATTTTGCATGAAGTCTTGTCGGAGTGATGCCTGACATCCTGTTCAGCGGTCTAATTGAAGACATCGTTTGTAGTACATATTTTTGCGTTCACAAACATCACACACGCATCCATTTTTTGGGTAAATTTTGGACCAGAATGGTAAAATCAAAATTGCAGCATAGTTTTTGCTGAAATTCTATGCAAGAATTGCTCTCATTGTTTTTCGTTTAAAACTGATGAAGTTTCCAAAAGATGAGTAATCAATGTAAAATTTATAAGGCAGCTGTATAGTTCCAAAAAATCTAAATTTACTACACTTAAACTGGTCCCTATTTCATATAGCCAAATACAATTAATTTTAAATCCATAGATTGAAATTTTATAGTATTTCACAACTCATCTGCTACATATCCTCATATCAGTCAGTGTTTGTTTATCACTCAGTTTTAGTTTAAATGAAATGGTTTAGATACTGAAAATGTTTTGCTTGAATTTTTCGGCATATCTGCCGACCCTCAACCTGGGTCCTTTTCTCTCGACTCCTCTCATTTACCATCGACTAGGTGGATTATGAGACCGCCCATCTTGTCTACTCCCTTCCCTTGTCCGGTCGACCGACGCGTAATTTCTTCCGATTTTTGATTCTTCTGACCGGCGGTTCTCGATGAACCCGCTTGCTCCGTGCCCGACGGCTCATTCGTCTCCTTATTTCGCCTTTCCTCCCTCGCCGTATTCGTCGCTGTCCCGCCGCTTGCTGCGCCTTTACTTCTGTCGCCCGCTCGTTCGTTCTTGTCATCGTCGACATCACTCTCTTCATCGCTACTTTCAAATACGCACCTCATTTTCTTTTTCGTGCTTTAGTCACTTTCTGCGTGCATTTGCTTCTTTTGCGTCTTTTCCTTTGTATGTTCGGCTGGTACCACAATAGCTTCGACCATTGGTGCGACCATTTGTTCGCGAACTTTACTTGGACCTGGGTTGTTCTCAATGGGACCCTTTGCTGTTTGGCTTTCTTCGACCGCTAATCTAAACGAAACACCACATCGCCTAAGTAACAATCCTTCTTCCATTTTCACCGTATGTGGTGTTAATTTTTCTATAGTAAAAGATAAACGTTCATATTTTTGGATCCGTGATCCCAGTTCGTTGATACACCGCTGTGGTGCTAGTTTTGTGACGCTTGAGCCACGGTCGTGCGCGAGGATGAGTTAATTCGACATCCGCCTCCCTTAACTCATGTTCCTCCAACACCCGAGGAGTTTTCCGGCTGTGGGGTGCGTACACGAGGTCACTTTTTTTTTCCAATCCAAATTTAGCTCCACTGCTGGGAGTCAGTTCGCTTCATCTAAACATTGTAGTTTGTGGTTAGTTACATTAGTCCAATCGAGATTTCTAAGCGAAGGTTTTTTCGTTAGATTTCCATGAGCGGTATTAGCTTCTCTTCCATGATATGCTTCGAATGGTGTTAACTTAGTTTTAGAATGCGGTAGAAGTAGTAAAGCGCTTAAAGCGCGGGATATCATTTTCTTGATTTCCTGGTTTTTGTCTTCCCGTAGGTACGTTAAAACGTAATTTTCAATTGAACCGATGGTTCTTTCAACCATAACAGTTGTGCAATGATCTTTTACCGAGGATTTTCTATGCTCGATACCCTCGTAATTGCAAAAATTTAGAACTTCCTTTGAAAAGAATCCGGACGCGTGATCCATATGTAATTTCCTTGGGTGCCCATATGTACTTATATGTTTCCTAAGGAGTTTTAGTACATTTTTCGAATTGTTACTTGAGCAAACGTAAGCCGATGGCCAATGTGAAAAGTATCTACCGCTACTAAGAAATATTTCATCCGTCCTTGTACAGAGTTTACTGGACACCAAAAATCCAAATCTACTAAATCGTTTGGTTCCTTAGGTTTATATGTTATGCCTATGTCACCTTTAGGAATGTCCGGTTTAAAGTTTACCTGCTTCTAAGCAGCTCTTGCAGTACTTAGCGGTGGCCGCGAGATTCCGATGTATAAGCGGGATCCAAACGACCTTCGCCGCCGCGAACATTTTATCTCGACCGTGGTGGTTATGATGTAGGCAGTTAAGAACTAATGTCGACATATCCTTAGGTATGGCCAACCTGCCATCCATGCAAAGGCAGTTTTCTCTCACTGCAAAGTCGTAATAATGTTGCGCGTATTACTGTCCGAGTTTAGCAATTACTTCTTTTGCCCGTGGGATCCGGTCCCGAATCGAGTCTCGAATTGACTTCAAAATTGGATCTTTTTCCAGGTTTGCCTCCACAAGTTTCAGAATTAGGATTTCAGGGTTCTCGAGTTTCTTGACCACTTTGCTCTCAGTTGGGATAATAGAATAAACCTTTTTTTTCTCTATTTACAAGCAGGTAAGAT